TAAGTGATGATCTCTTAAAATATCAACTACCAAGAGAGCACCTCTTAAAAGCCTTCAAATCTTGAGAATGATTTTGTAAGGCACCTTAAGGCTCCACAAAGCTTTCCAAATTTGTGTTAGCTTCTCCTCTTCAATGACTCCAATCACTAGAGCATAACCTTCTTTTACACTTTGAGATCCATTATATTGTCTTCCCCATGTGATTCTATCCTTAAACTCCAATAGTGAAAGCAAGGTGCTAAAAATGGCTAGTTGACGTTTAAGGGAAAACAACTATTGAAGAAGTTCTCAATTCTAGTCTTGACGATTATGCTGTAATAGATCTATGACTTGCGTAATTTTCGGTATTGGTTCAACTAGCATCAACTACTATAAGTGGTGTTTTAAAGGCATGTCAGGTCTAAAAGAGATATTCCATGAAAGGTGGCTGAAAATTAAATCCCAACTTAGAGCACTCCTTTTCACGTTCAAGAAATGGAAAACAAAGTATTAAAGGTAAGCGACTCAGCATTAAAATTTTTCTCAACAAATTTATTTCTCAATGTTATTGCAGTATAACTACTTGTCACATTCCGTTTCATCTTCTTCGGTTATTTTGGGAAAATATGATCCCCTTCCAAACAACTTGTTTATTAATCATCAAGAAAGCTAATTGTAACATCCCAATTTAAATTTTAATAGTTAATTTTTGGTAAATAAAAATTTTTAAAAAATATTTAGAGGTAAGCAAATTAGTAGGAGATAATTATTAAATCTAACTTAGGATATAATTCTAAATTAAAAAAAAATAATAAAAAAATATTATTATTATTAAAATATTATTATTATTATTATTATAATAAAAAAAAGGTATGAGAAAGAAGGAAAGAAAGAAGAGAACAAAACGGCTTTCGGTGCTCTTCCCCGGTGCAATGATTATATTTATATAATAATAATAAAAAAAAGAAGAGAGAGGAAATAATTAAAAAAAATGTGGGACCCACAGTATTTTTTTTAAAAAACCCATCCCTTCTTCTTCGTTTCTTCATTTCTCCTTCCTTTTTCATTTCTCTTCATGCGCGAATAGAGGGGGCGACGGTGCGCAATTTCACCGGTGTTGGGTTTTAAGGTAAGAGTTTTTAATAGAATATTTAGAGTGTAATTTTAAGCTTTTCAAGACTAAATAAGTGTTCTAAAAATTTTTCTTAGTCATCCTTCTTCTTTAGTTTCTGAGTTTGTAGTGGTAGAAAATTTAAGATCTGGAAGAGGGATGAATTTATGTTAAATAAATATAGTTTTTGAGGTTGTCAGTAGTATAATAAATGTTCTAAAGTATAAATTTGTTGATGATTTTTGAATTTATGGCTTATGGATCAAATTCTAAACTAGATCTGAAAATATATGTTGATTTATTGAGGTTTAGATGATTATTTGGGATGAAAAATGAATTATTATGGTTATAGGATTATGATTCTAAGCTAGAGACTCAATTTTTAATTTTTGGGTATTTTAGGTACGAATTTATGAAATAAAAAGAAAATTTTGATAATAGAAATTAGTTTAGAAGCTAATTTTTTTAGATTATTAATGTTTATTGATAATTAAAAGAGGAGTTAAAAATTTTACTTAATAGTATTAACTTTAAATTTGTATTAAGATTGAGATTATAAATTATGTTATATTTTTAATTCTATTATTGGAATTATTTTATTAGTTTCAAAAATTGAAACTAATATTTATAAATAATATGTTATTTGTAGATTGTATTACTGGTGAAGATTGTGGTGAGAGAAAAATTTTAAGGAATAATTTATTAAAAAAGCCATAAGGTAATCATGCTTTTAATTTGTGATTTGTGTTACTCCATATTAATTGGGTGATTATTGAGAAAATTATGAATTTTATAATATTATAAAATTATGTAATATTATTATGAATTTGTTTAATTATTGTGGGAGGTGTTGGGAGACTTGCTATTGTTGTTGTATTTATGTGCCACGTGGTACGCCCCTATTGGAGCTCAATAGGTGGCTTGCAAGGGCTCGGGTTAATCTACCTTTGGCCGGATAATTTAGCATCGAGTGAGGGCTACGACTCGAGGTTAATGGAGGGATATAAGGATGGTTGTTTGTGTGTATTGTAATATTTCTTATATTTGTTGGAATTATATTAATTTTAATTCTCACTTAGTAAGCACACACTTAACTGTTTGTATACACTATCATAAATTGACTTTGGTTACTGGGACTTTTGAGTCTCATTATGTAGTTAACAATTTTCAGGAGAAGAGCCACGAGTTACACGTGGAGGAGTCCCAGAGGCTTAGTGGTATAGATTCACCATCTCTTTTGGGTATTTAATTTATGATTTATAATGTGTTATATTGCTAATACTAGGGCTTTTTATTTATTATCAATTATATGAATATATAAATGTAATCATGCCTTTCAAACTATTTCTATTTTTAGTACAATTTGGATGACTGTAATTTTAATATTTGGTTTATTTTGGATTGATTAAATTGGCATAATTATAAGGCCAGATAACTGGCTTGTGTTGAAAATTGATTAAATTGCTTATTTTACTTGTTGGGAGTATAAGGATGGACAATATGATTTAGTTTACTTGTTAGGAGTATAAGGATGGACAAATGTGATTTAGCCTAATAGCATGTGGGAGGTAAAAATTTATCTGAAATGTTATAGTGTGTGAGTTGAAGCCAATTATAAAATATTTTATATTGAAATTATTGATATAAAAATGTGTTGGGTGGCTGTAACCCAACTATGGTTGAGTTAAATTATATAAAAAAAAAATTTGGTGTGTTATACTAATAGCTATCGACGAGTGTTGGTTATAGTAAAAATAGTTATGGTCAATGGTAGAGCTAGGACTCTAACTTAGGAGGTGCAGTATAATTTAAAAATAAATTTTAATAATTAATTATTTTATTTTATATCTTGTAGTTGTGATTTCATGTTTTAAAAAACATTGAATATGAGGTAAAAAATAATTTAAAAAATTGTTGTGAAGATTTCTTATTTGATATATGTAAAATAAAAATAAATAATGGCATATTCAAGTTAGGGAGTTTACAATTTACGCTTAAAGTTTATTAGGTTATGAGATTTAAAACACAGACATATATAGTATATATGAAAAGCCTATTTAAATAAAGTATATTTAGAAATAAATCAAGATTAGGTGGCTTTCAAATGATAAGTGTAAGGTGTGCAAAATATTAAAAAAAAGAAGTATTTATATTTTTAATATAAAATAAATAATACTTTTGTAAACTGAATATAAATGATGTGATTATTGCAAGTTAAGTGACTTTTTTTGTCAAACATAATGTAGCAGACAAATCATGTGAGGTGCAAAATTTCAGATTTTTTTTCCTATGTGGCATGGCTTTCAGTGTTTAAACCCTCTTTCCCTCATCACACATATTGATTGCTCCCAGTTGAGGGGTACATCTGCCCCTGGGTTAAATGTGGCTACATTACTGCTTATGGTCATCCAAACATTGTTCTTCTTGTCAAACTCATTTATGAAATTAGCAATTTCCTATTGACTTGTGCCAGCGCATATTCTACATGTGTGTGTAACCAGGATTTTCTTTTAATAAAAAGATAATACATTACTCAAACAGAGAGAACAAAATAAGTTGGAGCTAACTCAACAACTTTTCATCATCCAACAATTCTTGGAAAAAAGTAGTGGTTGATCAAGGGAGAATTTCAACTAAACATCATGATTATGACTTAATTATTAATGAGTCTCAAAAAAATTTAAAATTTCAGTTTAGTACAGGAGGACTGAAGGGAAATAATTTCAATGGTGAAAAGACTAAAGTACCATTTACTTATTAATTTTATCCAAAATACAGAATAATTAGTTATTAATTTTTTTATTTTATTTATTAATTACAAATATAAGTTGTAAATTACATGAATTAATCTATCAATAATTACACAAGATTTAAATGTTAATTGTTCAATTACAAACAGCAATATTAATTGTTAAATTACTCACTTTACTTGTTAATTTATTAACATAAGTTGTAAACAAACATATGTTAACAATTAATGTTACTAATTGTCTGATAAATTGATGTAATTTACAACTCAAATTTTAGATCTTTTGTAAGTTGGAAATAGACATAAATTGTAACTTATGTCTGTTTGCAACTTATGTTAGTAAATTAATAAATAAAATTAATAATTTAATAATTAATATTACTGATTGTCTGATAAATTGATGTAATTTATAACTCAAATGTTAAATCTTTTTATTATTAAAATTATTTCCACTTCAATCTTTTTGAATTGAATTAAAATTTTAATTTTTTTGGGATTTTCTAGTAATTAAATCATATCTGTGGTCCTTAGATGAAATTACCTTGCTGATCAAAATGTGTAACCATGAATCAAACTCATAGAATGAAGGTAAAAATTTATTTAAAAAAAAAAAAAAAGGCAAAGAAGCGTCATTTAACGCCTATTTCTGACCACAGACGTGCGCATGTTCGCGGCCTGAAGAGGATATAATCTTCCCATGGCCACGGATCACGATTGGCTGCTTCATCACACCAGCAATTTAAAAAAGAAAAAGCAAGTTCACGGATTTTAAAATTTTAATTTCAAGAGTATATTTTGGCATTATGCCTCGACAATTATATATATATATATATTTATTTATTTATTCACAAAAAAAAATGATAGTAACAAAAAATTTCAATATACGGGCAAAGTATAGGTAAGAATAGTACAGCTTTCCAGAATGTCAAGTCTTCTTCCCATTATTTGATTTCTCGTTTCTCATCTTGGCTCGGAAGGGAACCCGATTAGCTGTGCAAGATTGACTTTCACAAGACGCGGAAAATCTACACGCCTTCCGCGTCCCTCCACTATGATGTCGCTGAACAGTCGCAAAGGCACTGTTCTGGTAATACCCACCATTTTTTTTATCCACATCTTTCCAACTTCAACCAAAAAAAAAAAAAAAACTAGAGCTTTCGAAGAGGGTGAATCATTCATTTCATCCTACCAACAATAATTCCTGCTTCGATTTGGTTAGACCAAATGCTCCACGTGCCACTGCCAGTCCACGTTCTAACCGTTTTGACGTTGAAATCTATATATATATATATATATATATATATATAAGTTTGTGGTCTGCTTTGCCAAACCATCCCTGCTTATTCGTTTTTCATAAGCTTTGTTTTGTGCAACGCCTGAAGGAGGTGAACAATCCTTTGTTTTTGAAGCTGTATACCACTATTCCGTCTGAGAATTTTCCACATTTTGGTATTTGTGTGCGAGTGGTTTTTGCATTACAGTTCAGTTTAGCAAGTCTCACTGTGAAGTACTTGTTATTGCAGAAACAGGTTTTGTGCGGGAGAGACGGGAGAAAATTCGTGGCATTAATGTCGAGCACTTTGAAGGAGACGAGAAACGGGGGCGTTTCAGTGGATGGCCTGGAAGGTCACGGACACGGTGTTGGTGTTCGGGACTTGTACGGCGAGGATAGTGCCACGGAGGATCAGCCTATCACTCCCTGGACTTCTTCTGTGGCCAGGTGAGGCGGCAGCAGGCCATGAGTTTCGTTTTTATATTTTATTTTCTAAGCTATGAAGAAGGATGATGGCATGTTCAAAAAGAGACAAGAATGCTGCATCCGTTTCTGTCGATTCTACTAATATTTTAGTCTTTGATCTCCGTTTTTGGGTCTGTGCTTTCACCTCTTACATGATCTTATTTTTTGTCGGGAATTTAAGTTTTGGCTAGACTTGATTTTGATCTCGTCTACTTCGTTTGAGAATGTAAAAAAATCAACTCGTTTTTCTTCCAATCCAAGTTTCGATGAATTCCGTTGTTTTCACTTTTGGGATCTAGGCTAGGTAGATAAAAAACAAAAGAGAGACCGAAGGAATCAAAAAATATAAAATAAGTGCTAATAAAGTATGTTTCGTGTTACAGTGGATGCGCCTTGCTGCGTGAGCCACGCTACAACAAAGGACTTGCCTTCACTGAGAAAGAAAGAGATGCTCATTACCTGCGTGGCCTTTTGCCTCCAGCTATCCTCTCTCAAGAGCTTCAGGTTACTTACGTTGCCAAGTTTACATGAATTTTTCTCTTGGTCTCGGCTCTTGCGCTATTATTTACATTTTCCTTCTGGCTAATTACCCTTGTTATTAATATTGTTAAACAGGAGAAGAGGTTGATGCATAATCTTAGCCAGTATGATGTTCCTCTGCATAGATACATGGCCTTGATGGATCTTCAGGTGCTAGCTGGCTTCTTGCTCTTATGGCCATTTTTCCACCTAACAAGTTTTATTTGGTTGGTGCATGGTAGGATCAAATTTATCACCTTCTCTCACTATTTCTATTCTAACAGGAGAGAAATGAAAGGCTGTTTTACAAGCTTTTGATCGACAATGTTGAGGAACTGCTCCCTATTGTTTACACTCCTACGGTTGGAGAAGCCTGCCAGAAATATGGAAGCATTTTTAGGCGTCCTCAGGGTCTCTATATCAGTTTAAAGGAGAAGTATGCTTTTTCACGCTACTCCTCTTTCTTTCTTTGTTTCCTCCCTGCTTATAATTTCAGAAAATACTGAGTGATTGAGTTCTTCAGAGGCAAGATTGCTGAAGTATTGAAAAATTGGGGAGAAAAGAACATTCAAGTTATTGTTGTGACTGATGGTGAGCGTATTTTGGGACTTGGAGATCTTGGTTGCCAGGTATCTATTGATCTTGTTCGTATTTCTGTCTAATTTTCAGAATCTTTTCTCAGCTGACATAATTGTTTTAACTTTTCTGATAGGGCATGGGCATTCCTGTTGGGAAACTCTCTCTCTATACAGCATTAGGAGGTGTTCGCCCTTCAGCAGTATGGACTACTAGCATATGAGATTGTTTCCTGTTTCCCTCGTTTGAAACTTTCTTCTAACTCTCAATATGGATCTATAATTTACAGTGCTTACCAATAACTATTGATGTTGGTACAAACAATGAGAAGTTGCTGAAGGATGACTTCTACATTGGGCTTAAGCAAAAGAGGGCAACGGGGAAGGTCTGGCTACTTCTCTCTCTCTCTCTCTCTCAATGCACTGTTCAATTGTTTTTATCCCTATGTGGAGTAAGAAGTATTCGAATAAATATTAACATGACATATGTTAATTGTGGTTTAGGAATATGAAGAACTCCTAGATGAGTTCATGCACGCTGTTAAACAGAACTACGGGGAGAAAGTCTTGATACAGGTTACAGATCTGCTCCAACATGTTAATTTGGCGTTTCTTTTCTTTGCTTGATTATATTTTTTTTGAACGAATCTTTGCTTGATTATATTGTTTTGTCAACATTTATCGTTCTTTTTCAGTTCGAAGATTTTGCGAATCATAATGCTTTTAACCTGCTGGCAAAATACAACTCATCTCATCTTGTCTTTAATGATGATATACAGGTACATAAAAGACAACTAGTGATTTCATGCACAGCCCCTTTTTAAATTTATGAGTGATTGACTTTGATTTTCGGTTTAATTCAGGGTACAGCATCTGTGGTATTAGCAGGACTGCTTGCTTCCCTGAAATTAGTGGGGGGAACCCTAGCTGATCACACCTTCTTATTCCTAGGTGCTGGAGAGGTTAGCCTAATAAACCTCTTCCTTATTTACATGTTACCATTTCAACACCTTCTGTACAACAACAACAAGCCTTTATCCCACTAGGTGGGGTCGGCTACATGGATTGCAAGACGCCATTGTGCTCTATCATTTATTAAGCTTTTAGAAATATTATTAATTAAGAGATCACGTTCAACAACTTCCAAGAGTGTTCTCTTAGGCCTTCCTCTACCTCTCTTAATTGGACTCAAAGTTATATGTTCCACTCTTCTCACTGGTGCCTCCCTTGGTCTTCTTTGTACATGCCCAAACCATCTCAACCGATTTTCTACCATTTTTTCCTCAATAGGTGCCACCCTCACTTTTTCACGTATGTGCTCATTTCGAATTTTATCTTTACGTGTATGTCCGCACATCCATCGTAACATTCTCATCTCTACTACTCCAACTTTATGCTCTTGCTGTCCCGTTAGAGCCCAGCATTCACTACTATATAACATTGCCGGTCTGATAGCAGTACGATAAAACTTTCCTTTAAGTTTATTAGGCACCTTACGATCACAAATAACTCCTTTAGCTTTTCTCCAATTAAACCACCCAGCTTGAATTCTATGTGAAATATCTCCACTAATTTCGCCATCATTTTGAATAATGGCTCCCAAATATCTAAACTTTTCCACTTGAGGTATAATTTGATCTCCCAATTTCACTTCCAAATTATTTTCGAATAGTCCTTTACCAAATTTACAATATAAATATTCCGTCTTACTTCTACTCAGACGAAAACCTGTCGACTCCAATGTCCTCCTCCATAACTCAAGTTTGCAATTAACCTCTTCTCTTGTCTCTACTATAAGAACTATATCATCCGCGAAGAGCATACATTTCGGGATTTCCTCTTGAATATGTTCCGTCAAAACATTTAAAATCAAGTTGAACAAATAAGGACTCAGAGATGATCCCTGATGTAGTCCAATCTTTATAGGAAAATCCTTTGTTTGATCACTAGGCGTTCTTATACTAGTTTTTACCCCCTCATACATATCTTGTATGGCTTTAATATAAGCAATCCGTACTCCCTTTTTTTTCAACGCTTTCCAAAGCACTTCTCTTGGTATACGGTCATAAGCTTTTTCCAAATCAATAAAAACCATGTGTAGATCTTTATCTTTACAACGATACTTTTCCATTAATCCCCTTAGTAGATAAATCGCCTCTGTAGTTGATCTACCTGGCATAAAACCAAATTGATTCTCAGAAATACTTGTCTCCAATCTCAACCTGTGCTCAATTACTTTCTTCCACAATTTCATTGTGTGACTCATGAGTTTAATCCCTCTATAGTTAGTACAATTCTGAATATCTCCTTTATTTTTATAAATAGGAATTAATGTACTTCTCCTCCACTCATCAGGCATTTTCTTGGACCGTAAAATCACATTAAATAACTTAGTTAACCATCTCACCCCTTCTTCACCTAAACATTTCCACGCTTCGATAGATATACAATCAGGTCCGTTAGCTCTACCATTTGCCATTTTTTTAAGAGCTTCCTTTACCTCCTTATCACGTATTTTTCGATAGAATGACAAATTTTGTTCTCCTTCACCAGTTACTAAATCCTCCAAGTTACTAAATGAATCCTCTCCATCATTGAAAAGTTTAGAAAAATAAGTCTCCCATCTATTTTTAATTTCATCATCTGTAACTAAAATTCTTCCCTCTTCATCCTTAATACACCTTATCTGTTCTAGATCTCTTGATTTTCTTTCCCTACTCTTGGCAATCTTATAAATTTTTTGCTCTCCTTCCTTCGTCTCAAGGTTCTTATAAAATTCTTCAAAAGCTTTGGAACGAGTTTCACCCACAGCTCTCTTAGTTTCCTTCTTAGCCATACGGTACCTCTCCCAATTTTCCTCATTGTTACACAAATATATGGCTTTAAAACAGTTCTTCTTATACTTGATTTTGTCCTGTACACTATTATTCCACCACCAAGACTCCTTATCTCTCGGACCAGAACCTTTCGATTCTCCCAAAACTACTTTTGCAACCTCCCGTATCTTTTTAGCCATATCCTCCCATATGATGTTAGCACTTCCCTGAGAATCCCAAATTCCTTTATCCAAAAGATTTCGCTTGAAAATATCTTGCTTCTCACCTTTTAATTGCCACCACCTAATCCTTGGTGTTACTACTTGTCGACGTTTTTGGATTTTACTCATAATACACACATCAAGGACTAGGACCCTATGTTGTGTCGTTACAGCATCTCCAGGGATTACCTTACAATTTTTACAAAGTTTTCTATCTGTGTTCCTAACCAAAAGAAAATCAATCTGCGACCTTGAGGCTCCACTTTTGTAAGTGATGAGATGCTCATCTCTCTTCTTGAAACAAGTGTTGGCAATCTTAAAATCATACGCCAATGAGAAATCAAGAAGAGTTTGCCCTTCATTGTTTAGCTCTCCAAAACCAAAATCACCATGCACCCTCGCATACTGACCAGCTTCCCTCCCGACATGCCCATTAAAGTCTCCTCCAATAAAAATCTTTTCACTCTGTAGTATGTGTCGAATCAACCCCTCCAGATCCTCCCAAAATAATTCCTTAAGACTGGCTTTTGTCCCGACTTGCGGCGCATAAGCGCCAACAATATTAACAGTCTCACGTCCAATTATCATTTTTAAAGAAATAATTCTGTCTCCAATTCTGCTAACTTCTACAACGTTCTTCTTCCACTCCTTATCTATAATGATGCCTACTCCATTGCGTGCACTTACTTTTCCTGTATACCAAAGTTTGAAACCTTGAATATCCTTAGCTCCTTCTCCACGCCATTTTGTTTCTTGCAAGCAAAGGATATTGATTTTCAACACCTTCTGTAATAGAGGAAAAAAGAAAGGAAAAAAATGTCATCCATACATGTACACACTCACACACATTTCTAAATTGATGGTTTTATTTCCCACTTACGATCTTTTGGCTGTTGAAGGCTGGAACTGGGATAGCGGAGCTGATAGCTCTCGAGGTTTCAAAGAAGGTATTATTATTAACTTGAAAAGTTTACTGTGATTAGCAGTGTTTATGTTAACTCTTTCTGACCATCGATATTCTTGGCCAGACAAAATCTCCATTGGAGGAGACTCGTAAGAAAATTTGGCTAGTGGATTCCAAGGTAATCAAGGGGTATTGACATGCTTTATTACTTAATTTCCTTCTCCTAATAACTGTCATTCACAACGAGCCCCTCCTTTCTCAGGGACTGATTGTTAAGTCTCGTATGGAATCGCTTCAGCACTTCAAAAAGCCTTGGGCTCATGAACATGAACCTGTAAAGGGACTTCTAGATGCTGTCAAGGTCAGAAAAGTGGCTCGGATTTAGTTTCTGTACCATATAAGATTTTTCTTTCCCATCATATTTCATACAAAATGCTTACAATTGACTCCTACAGGCAATCAAGCCAACGGTTTTGATCGGATCATCTGGAGTAGGAAAGACATTTACAAAGGAGGTGGTTGAAGCCATGTCATCCTTCAATGAGGTTCTTCACACTTTCCTCTAGTAATAACTTCGTTAACTTACGGGAATTGAGAAGATTATGAGGCATTAATGATTAAAAATATTTATTTGCATTTAGAAACCACTCATTCTTGCTCTGTCCAACCCAACTTCACAATCTGAGTGCACAGCTGAAGAAGCTTATACATGGAGCAAGGTAACTTTTTACCGCCCCTCCATTTTTCCTTTGCACAATAGTCCACTAAACATTACTTTGCAGATTAAGGCTATTGTATCAGATAAAACGGAAAATCCACCTTTAATTTGCAGGGTCGAGCAATCTTTGCTAGTGGAAGCCCATTCGACCTAGTTGAATATGGAGGAAAAGTTTTTGTGCCTGGACAGGTTTTATCATGCAACCTTCAAAGTATTTTATCATGCAACATGCATACCTGATACCTTAACCAAAGTGGCTCACATCTTCTTACAATGACATTCAGGCCAACAATGCATACATATTTCCTGGTTTTGGCTTGGGTTTGATCATCTCTGGCGCAATCCGGGTGCATGATGAGATGCTCTTGGCAGCCTGTAAGTACAAAGATGAGAAATATAGCAATTTGCTTTCATATAATCTGAATGAAGCTGTTTAGAATGATGGATTATTTTTATTGATCAATCATTAAACATTACATCTTCTGGTGCAGCGGAAGCTCTGGCTGCACAAGTGGCTCAGGAAAACTATGATAAGGGGCTGATTTACCCTCCTTTCACTAACATAAGGAAGATATCAGCCCACATTGCTGCTAATGTTGCAGCCAAGGCATATGAACTTGGTAAGTCTGTTCTTCGTGCGTTCAATCCTGAGAACGCTGGCCCGTTTATAGTTTTTGCCCCTTCCTCATTTTTACTTATTTTTCTTTCTTTTCTTTTGCCCTTCTTTTTTTTTTTTTTTTTGGTGGATAGGTTTGGCTTCTCATCTACCTCGACCTAAGGATCTTGTCAAATATGCAGAGGGCTGTATGTACAGCCCAGCCTACCGAAGCTACCTTTGAAAGTTTTGATCTGTATCACGCGGCATCTGTGAGCTTTTAAAGGAAGCAAATTGCTGACTTACTAGACATTGTTATTGGAACTCTTTATACATTAGGAAAGTGGTCAATTCTCTTTTATTTTTTGTTATTGTATTTGGAAGAAATATTTCTATATTCTGCAGCGAAATTTGAATGTTTGGTTCCCAATGTACGAGTCAATGGCCAATAAGAAGTTGTTACCCAATTAGTAATTTCATGCTATTGTAATGGGATAGCTTTACTACGAGTATATTCGTACAGTTTCTTCCTTTACAGTGTACGATATCCTATCTATTCTAGATGGAATTTTAGATACACTATATACTCCTATATATCATTGCTTTTGCAAGGACAACTCTTAAGACAAGTTTTTTTTTTTTTTTTTGGGACTTAAACCAAGATTTGTATTTAGACAATCTTTTAATATGTAGATTTTTTTTACCTTAAATAATATGTAGATGTTTGAGGCTTTTAAATCGGTGCATCATCACGAGACACGCCATTATTATCAGAAACAAAAGGCTAAACTATTATTTTAATCTTTAATTTATGATTATTTTCTTAATTATTTTAAAATTTTAATGCAATATTTAACTACCAATTTATATTAGAGCCGCTCTTTTTCATTTAATATTTTAAGGTTATTCCTTTGCATTTTTTAATCATGTCTTAAACGGGATTTGATTTTTAAAATAGTATAAATCCAAATTTAAAGGATGAAAGTTTAAAATACTTTAAAAATTTTAAATGGCGAAGAACCCATTGGCATTGGGAAAGCAATATCTCCAAACGACTTGTAGTATACCAGCCTTCGGAAGAACATCGCATCCTTGGACGTGATTACGGGTACTGTCGTATAGTTTGATCAAAACCAAAGGTCTCTCGCAGTCGTGAGGTGCATTTCGATAAAACTCAGCAGAAGACGGCCGTTGAAGTAAGATGGGTCGCGCGTTTCTTTCTCAAATCCTGATTCTCTCATCTTCGTCTCCGCACTTTGCTCCTTCGCTGTACGCACCGACACTCTTCTATCCTCATTGTATTCTTCTTTCTTCATAAGCTTAGAAATGTGGCTTTTATTTTCTCATATATATTGCAATCAGCAGGTCGTGTATTGGACCGAGGTTCTCGAAGGCCACTGCCAGGAACCTTCTTCGTTCTCACCGTCCACTTATACTCAGTGGAGCGTGCGTCCGCTGTTATTCTAGCATTGTATCTGCTTCAGAGACTTCTCCGACCTCTGTAAAGTAATCACGACTTAATTCTTCTAACATTCAGTGCTTATTGAGTCCAAAAAACTTGTCTTTTTGTATTTTTGGTCATACTTGATCCCTTATACCATTGATCAATATGGTGGGGTCTCGCTATTGATACATTATGATTCGTATACTGGACTACTGGAGCAAGTGTTGGGAATACATGTACACTGTTCCTAGATGCCAGCTACTTAGATTGACAGTATAACATTACTTCGTCAATAGTTTGTATTCTGTAATTATCTCGGCGCTCGTGTGCAGATTTTTGTTGTCTTTTGCTGTACTTTATATTGGAATCGGAATGCACCTTTTCAACATATGTTTATTAACTTCTCTTTGACAGGAAACGGGTAGTTTCAGGAGTTCAACCTACAGGGTCTATTCACCTTGGGAACTATCTCGGTGCCATAAAGAATTGGATTGGACTTCAGGTTGTTGATGAGTTGATCTTCTTTCTTGATATTGTTGCAAAGTGAATAACCTCAAACATGAACTTGTATGTAATTATTCTTTTAAACGGGCGTTGGTATAAGTTGCAAGACCAAATAAAATCGATGGAATTGACTTTTAGCTTTCATAAATCTGATCTTTTACTCTTTCATCCCTCATATATGTGCTGAGCAGCTTAGGTATCAAAAAGCCACTTCTAATCCATTACAAGCCTGGCATGTTTTAGTTCCTCTAGCATTGAAAGCTAAGGCTGAAGGAATTGACTTACAAAATACTTACATATTGCTATCTACACATGTGTAGAACAATAGCACGCCCAACTGAACTTGCTAAGAGCCAAATGAATGTCTGGTCGGTGCCCCATATGGCTGATTAGGATTTTTCTGGCCATTGACAGACATGTCCATTTGTATATTTTGTGTTGTAAATCAGTGGTATATCTAGTGAAAAATTTAGATCATTGATAAGAGAATTGCAATAGTGAATCCACAGCTGTTGTTTGCTTGGATTCTCAATTTGAGTTCCTATGGGTAAAGATTGTGGAGATTGCTAATCAAGGACTCATTTATTCCTAGCTGTTGGTCGTTCCTCACCCCCAAGCTATAATGGGATGGCTGTCACTTAGAAAACAAGAGTTCATTGGTTGCATACAAGTGTTAATTGACTTTAGCATGAAACAGAAATTGATTGATTTGATTCAAGGATTTTATGTGACTTGCTAATTTATGATATTTCTTTAATTATGCAGAATACATATGATACACTTTACTTCATCGTGGACCTGCATGCGGTATTTCCATATTTCTTCTACTACATAAGCTTTTAAAGTTTTAGGTGATGCTGTAATTTTTTTTTTCTCATTTTGTTGTTAGAATTACAGCTCTGAGTTCATGTAAGTTCAGATAAAGTGGAAAATCTCTTCCTGAATATCATTTATAGTAGATAGCAAATATGCTCCCAACTATTGTCATTATGAGCTTTGCAAATATTTTGATAAGATCATTTGAGATTGATCAAAAGTGATTTCAATCTTTAGATGGACGTTGAACTATCTCTTACTTTTGTTATTTTGGAAAATGGACTCATTCCTGCTCGCATTCACATTTTGAGTATAGCTAAATAGGCGCAACACTATTCGTTGAAAAAAGGATTGTGTAATTGATGATTTTTACTTTATCTGTCTGTGCTGCTTTTGAGCTTTAGTTGGTTTTGTGTTACCCCAACAGTGGACTTGACATTGTATCTTTTGCTGTTTGTGGGAATAATGCACATTACCCTTATGATCAGTTTCATGTGATATTGGTATCAAACACCCCCTTGAGGCTGAATAGCCCAATGAAATTCATAATTGAGGCTAATTATATTGGTCAGTGGGGTGGAACATGGACCTTACTCTGTTACTTTTCAGATGTAATGTATTACTAATTATAGATGGTATTCTGTTTTCTTGTAATGATGCAGATCACATTACCATATGACACACAACAATTATCTAGGACAACAAGGGAGACAGCAGCCATTTATCTGGCATGTGGTGTTGATACATCAAAGGTATTTAGTAATCTTCTCTGTTCTTTGCAACTTTTTTTAGAAATGTGCATTTTTGCTAGAAATATCATTACAATTATGCAGGCATCTGTATTTGTGCAATCCCATGTTCGTGCACATGTAGAATTGATGTGGCTGCTAAGTTCTGCCACACCAATTGGTTGGCTGTACAGAATGATTCAGTTTAAAGAGAAATCCCGCAAGGAGGTGTGTGCCTAGCTGTATGAATTCCCTCTTTTCATTTTCAATTTCCTTCTAATTATAACTTTAGGATTGGACTTAAATGTAGTTTCTCATATTTTTTTATCATGTTATTCACCAAATTACGACATGCATGATTCTCTAATTATAACAGGGCAAGCACGTGTTTTAATTGGGGAAATACACGTTTTGAAAAATCATATACTTGTTGCGTACTCGTTAAGGAACCTAATGGCAAAGATATAAAGAACTGCATAAAATTGTTTTCCTTAATTTTATAATTTTTGACTTCCTTCGATAACGATTTCCCTTATTTATGGAGGTGCAGTCAAAGTTAGAGTCATAATCTACAGTCTACAAGAACATTTATTTTCTTCTGAAGTTATAGGTGATTTGCACATTGGACAGAGTTCACCCTTTTTTGGGGGGGGGGAATGAAAAAGAAAAAACTTTGACTTTCTTGTTTCATATCTTTTTGGTAAGGTGAAAATCAAAGCCTATTCATAAAATGGGAAAAGGAAAAATGGAAAGAAAATTTTGCTTTATAATCAAGAACATGAGTTTGTCCCACAGTTTTTTGGGTATCGACAGCTTTTCAGTGCTTAATTTCAAAGCCTTCGCGTGAAAAAAAAAAAGGAAAAGAAAAGAAAGAAAAAATAGTTTCCTTTCCTTATGCTCTGTGTTGAAGGAAGCTGTTTCTGCTTGGATGCCAAAGCCATGCGATTTGGAGAATATGATGACCACTTTCTGCCAAAAAAAAAAAACAGAGAGAATTGGGGGATTCAGTTTTTCCATTAGTACTTGGCGTTTACAATTTGTATCTTGTACTTAGCCTTTGCTATTTCTTTAGTCGACCTTTCTTTATTCTTTAGTTCTTTATATTCAGTTCTGAGTCTTTTTACTTATCATGAACCTATATTTCTTTTTGAATCACACTTGTAGGGAGATGAAAATGTTGGGGTCGCTCTTTTGACATATCCTGTTCTAATGGCTGCTGATATTCTTCTATATCAGGTGGTTTCCAGTGCTCTGCCTTTCTGTGCCTCTGTCTCTAATATGTCTGTCTGGATGGTTGTCAATTTTTTTTCTTTTTTATGGAGCTGTGATGCAGTAGAAGGAGATGAAGAGAGAGAAGAAGTATAGAAAACAGAGAAAAATAAGAAAGAAAGACGAGAGATGAGAGAGAGGAGGGAAAAAGAAAACAAAAGTAGAGAAGAAAACAAAAGTAGAGAGAGAACTGAATATATTTCTGGGTTTTTTCACATTAAGCATAACCTGAGTCATATAGGACCTTTTATATAGGCCCTACCTTACGCTCTTATTCTAACAAAACCTAACGACCCAACTATCTAACTACTAACTAACTAATCTTTAATATTTCTTTTATGAATTGTGCATCAATACTCCCCCCTTTGGTGGAAAAAAAAACCCTTGACCTCAAGGGTTGACACAAAGGAAAAAAAAAAAAAAGCAGAATTCAACCATCCTTTATCCAGAAGCCCCTTTGCCGTCACTAGGACTTCTTTGACCACGTAACACCTGCTCAGTATCTTCTGCGATGGCTTCTTCAGATTCAGGCTCGAGAATGAGTTGTGTCTGGACTTTCTGAGTTGGGGAACATCTATGACCCTTAAAAGAATGTTTTGTGACAAGAGAAACAAATATTCTTTGACTGAAGACCATCAACCTCCTCTTAGTTTAATTTGTTTAAGATTTTTGAATTAGGGTTTGAAAAGGAACTTGCCATCGAGAAAACAGAGGAAGT